CAAATTACGTTATAGAGTAGGAATTTCCCGAAACTATTTTAGATCTATGTAATTAATTAAATTAACTCCATATAAATATTAATTATTCATACGGGAATTTTTTTTTAGTATGTATGTCTATGTATGTCCGAATTTGAATCATTATGTTTAAAATTTATTATTCATATATTAAATTGATATTCTTACAGTAACGTCCGTTAATTTCACAAAAATATATTGCTCATGCTTTTAAATTACATAGTATAAGGACAGTTATTCCGGAAATTCTTGCGAATGTTATCGATTAGTTTTATCTTCTTTATGCGTTATTAATTTCCTTTTCAAGTACTTCATTTCCAAGTCATTGTGACCCTTATAGATCCCGCTGACATATTATTCTCTTTTTTTTTTTGACATTTAGCTATGTGATGTTTTACTTATTCATTCTGTCTTAGTTTATCCCTGTTGTGCTATTCAAAATATTCCAGCTTCCTTTCTTCTTTCATTTTTAGAAATAATTAGTTCTGATTTATAGTCCCACTTATGGTCAAGTTTCTTTTTTCTTTTTTTTTACTATTTTTGCATATTACAGGTATAACCTAGAAGATTAGCGAAAAGCAGGAAATCAGCAGTAATTGATTATTAAAACATAGTTTTTAAGCGTTACATGGATTCGCAAGGTCGGAAGCTTATCGTTGTTGACAACGGCACAGGAGTAATTTTTTAATCTAAAAAATTTGACATTGTGAAGCAAATTTTATCACCTCCCAAAATTTGTCATGTTCAGTTTCTTTTTCTATTAAGCTTAGTCTTTAATTTAAAGTGAATTTTTCGACATCAAAATTCCAGGATGTTCAATTAAATGTAAATTTTAGTTTGTAAAATGTGGTTATGCTGGGACCAATTTTCCTGCCCACATATTTCCGTCAGTAGTAGGACGCCCACTGGTACGATCATCACAAAAAGTTGGCAATATAGAAATTAAAGTAAACTCTTTACTTCCTTATTTCAAGATTTTTTTTTTTAAATTTGAATGAAATAACTTCGGACCGTATTATTAGGTGAAAGAGTGAGTAAGATCGTCGGCTTTCAGGATCTTATGGTTGGGGAAGAATGCACTCAGTTAAGACAGATGTTAGAATGCAGTTATCCAATGGAAAATGGAATAGTTAGAAACTGGGATGACATGAGTCATGTATGGGACTATACATTTGGTCCAGAAAAGATGGATATTGATCCAAAAGTTTGTTTCTGTTTTCTTTCTTCTTGTCTTTTATAACATTACTTCAAGGTTGCTGATTTGCTAGACAATCATTTATGGAACACAATATGACTTCATTGAATTTTAGTTGCAAATCATGGTGTATTATTTGCTACAATTTATTTAATTTTATTTAAGGATTGCAAATTATTGCTTACTGAACCACCGCTGAATCCAAGTGGTAATCGTGAGAAACTCTTCCAAGTTATGTTCGAGCAGTATGGTTTTAACTCCCTCTATGTTGCCGTGCAAGTAAGTTTTCTAGTTATGCCCACGAAAGTTTTGAAGGATTGAATATTTTCGATAACGACTTATTGGCTGTTTGTTGGAGATAAAACAAAGTTCATATCCTTCAAGCACTATGACCACTAAGATTACCAGAATTGTTGCATTACTGAGTTGCTGCTTGTTTTAATTAGTTGTACTGCTGTTCACCCTGCTTAGTTAAGGACTAAAATTCAGGAAGAAATTTCTGTAACTGATCTTTTAATCGTCTTACTGAACGCGGGAATTTGATAGTTATTTAACGATCGAATCCCGACATTTTCACATACGTGAAGCCTCATTTGGTATACTGCTTCAAAAGCGGCATGCAAAGTCCGAAATGGACTCTCTTGATAAATATTTCCGTTCTTCATACTTATTTCCATTGTTTTCTAATTGTTGAAATTATTAAAATTTGATGATGTTTATTTTTACTTCATTCTTTTCCGTCACTTCGTAAAAATTTCCCTAATTTTTTGGTGAGATTTTCAGGCAGTATTGACACTCTATCATCAGGGATTACTTACGGGTGTTGTCGTTGATAGTGGCGAAGGTGTAACACACATATGTCCGGTGTACGAAGGTTACGCTTTGAATCATCTGACGCGTCGTTTAGATATCGCTGGACGTGACATCACTCGCTATTTGATTAAGGTATATTCCGAAGCATCAGTTTATTATTTTACTTTAGTTTCCTACGAAAGTTACGATAATTTAAAAGTTTTGTTTTTAATTTTTTTTCTAAAAAATTAAGTAGAAGTAAAGAACTATATGCTATCAGATTTATAATGAGTAAATACAAGTATTCCTCAGTTTTATAAAATCTTTGTGAGCATGGAAGGCATCAGGTTGTTTTACCATAATCTAGAAATTTATAAAGAAGTAATTGATTTTTAAATATACTTCTGTTATATAATTCCTACTCGGCGTATTTTCAGCTCTTATTACTGCGAGGTTATGCTTTCAACCATACAGCAGATTTCGAGACTGTTCGTTTATTAAAAGAAAAGCTATGCTACGTGGCTTATGACGTGGAGAAAGAACAACGTCTAGCCCTTGAGACGACAGTTCTCACGGAATCATATACCGTTAGTGTTCATTAGAGATACCGGCTGATTCAGTGATTGTTTAGACTATTTCCTTTTTTCCAAGTTCATTCTGCTGCAGTCTCTATAGTTTTTGCTAACATTTTATCAAGAAATTCTTCTTTCTGAAGTTGGGCAACATAACTAATTTTCTTATCATCCTCCTAAGTGTTTATATGAAAATTGGCATTGTCAGAATTTAAGCATCGTTAATAGGTTGGTCAATATTTTCATTGCAGAAGCTTCACTCTGATGTTGGTACATTGTTCTGTTAAATTAGAATGTGAAATGTGATCAGTTTAGTTGCCGGATGGTCGCGTGATTCGTGTCGGAGGCGAAAGATTCGAAGCACCTGAAGTTTTGTTCCAACCGCATTTAATCAATGTTGAAAGATCGGGTCTCAGTGAATTACTGTTTGGAGTTATACAGTCTGCTGACATCGGTAAGTTGCTCATATACCACTGCTTTTTTTTATACTGCTTGTTAACTGTAAATTCAACTTAAAATCATCATATGATGTTGTGCTAGAAGATGTACTTGACTGTCATCGATATTTTCTGTTGTGTAGTGATTCATCATTTGAACTCATGTTTCAGCATATGTAGCATATATAAGTGCATTTGAAGTTTTTTGATCACTGATGCAGCAATAAGTAATGACTTGGGCGGAAGATTCTTCACTGCAACGAAAAAAAACTTGGTATTCATGAAAGGGCATACATAGGTCGAGAACTCCTTTACGGATTATTTTTCCTAGACTTGCAGCTGTTGTGATTTTCATGCCGTTCGTTCATTTTTTTTTCTTCGTTTTTGAAAGAAAAAAAAAAGCTTCCCAAATTTGAAAAACTTCAAAACTAAAATTGTCGGTCAAATATATAATGGATTATGATTAAGCCACCACAAAACTGACAGTGAGAAGTTTACGACTTTGGACTTTTTCATAATATTCTTATTACTGTTTTTTCTTTTTTTTTAGATACTCGACTTGAATTTTACAAACACATTGTGTTATCTGGTGGAACCACTATGTACCCAGGTCTTCAGAGCCGTTTGGAACGTGAACTGAAGCAGCTTTATCTAGATCGAGTTCTGCGGGGGAATACTGATGCGTTTCAGGTTTGTTAATTGAGACATCCTTTTTCGTTATGAGCTATTAAAATAGATTTCGTGGTAGTATCTAGATGTAATTCTTTATCCTAAAATTTCTTATCCGACATCTAACTATAACTGGATTATCGGCATTCATTGAGCCATAATATTTCAGAAATTCAAAATTCGAATTGAAGCTCCTCCAAGGAGGCAACATATGGTATTTCTTGGTGGGGCTGTATTAGCAAATATCATGAGAGATCGGGACGCAGTAAGTGTATATTTGCACATGTCTAATTATTTTTCACTTCTGTAATATTGCAATACAAGGATATATTTGTTTGTGATAGAATGTTGTGATGGTTCGCTTCACACAATGAGCAAAATTGCTCGCTTTGATCTGAATTTTTCTTTATTATTTCAGGATTTCTGGATTTCGAAAGGGGAATACGAAGAGGGAGGACTTGATCGATGTTTGAGAAAATTAGGCATTAGGTGATTCAAAGTTGTGTTATTGACTTTAGTGATATTTTGTTATAATATGCTGTGGTAGCTCACCATTTGTTTGTTTCAAGTTAAATTGTATAGCTGTACTGATTACGAATGGCGAGTGTCCGATTTAAAATCTCGTCAAGCATCAAGCACAGCTACTATTCGCTTTGAAAAACTCCATGTCGCTATAAATGTGTTCCATTTACTTAGTTAATTATGCTGTTTTTCGTAGATCAAATGTTTACTTATGGATCAAATCTTAATATATCAAAGTGATGAATGTAGCTACCTAATCTTGGTCACATAACTTTCTCACGACATAAGGAAATCCTCTATTCTCTTGAAATAATTTACCTTAATGTTATATCAAAGTGATGAATGTAGCTTAAAAACATTCTCCTTTTTTTGGTAGTTGACTAGTGAAAAACCGCCCATTAAATAATCAACTTTTATGCACATTATCATTCATCGTTATCCTCTAGTCTCCAGTGCCAAATAGCAGTTGTTCAATAATAATTTTTCATAATTTGGAATTTTTGCCCCACTTTTGAAAATTTAGTTACCAGTAATTACCTCTCACTGCTGATCCATTTTAGTACATTTGTATTGCTGTAATGTTTATTTATTATAATATTTCGATCTTATTAATTAGGTAAATTATAAGAATGAATTAGAATTAATTCTTTTTTGATTGTAATAAACATGATCTTTGAATATTTACAAGATTACTTTTAAATCATAAGTTGACAGATATGGGAGTATCAGCATGGATAGCAAAAAGTATGGAAAATAATGGGAAGTTTTGGTGCTTTAGAATCATTAAGCTTTAAATAATATCAATTCTTAATAATTCCATTCCTTAATCTATGTTCACTTTCCCTGTAATATGTTCCTAATTGTAATTTGTTTTGTTTTTTTTCTTTTTTCAACTACAAAATATGATAAATTGGTCTAATTTTGTGTGATAAAACCATGATGATATTAGGTGGAAATTGTTGTTTCAACATACTTATGTAAATTTTCTTGAACTAAGAAATTAAAATTTTTCAATGATAATGGAAGGAAATAATGCAGAGTGGTTTTGATGAATGAGAGATCGGAAAAGGAAAGTAGGAGGAAAATGGATGACCTAAATTCTTGAACTTGAACAGTAGGAGCATTTATATTACTATTACTACTAGTATTACTGCTACAAATACTATAATTGCTTACTACTACTACTACTATTATTATTACTATTACTATTACTATTACTATTATTGATTGTTACTATTTACGATTATGTAAAACATTCGTGGTATCTTCTGAAGCGTTTATAGTGCATTGGATAGATCAATCAAAAATTCGCCGGTCTATTTGATACTATCTTGCAGTATGATGAATTTCATAGGTAACTGTAACGATAGTAGGATGATACTTGAAGAGAGATTGATTCCTTCGGTCAGAATATGTTTCTTACGGTGGATAGATGATATTAGTATAGTGAAGTTTGCATATAATATGAATGCTATATGATCTGATTACTTATTGAATATATCTAATAATAAAAATCCTGACCGATTGGGTATGATATTAATAAATGGTTCTGATATTTTTGAATTTTTATTCCGAAATATTTAGAAGAATTAACAATCAAAAGTAAACAGATCATTAGTAGGGTGATGCGAAAAGTGAGTGTGACAGGCTATATCACTATTTACTAATAGGCAGATCTATATGATGAATATTATTAAATGGTTATCCAGATACCTACTGATAAAAATGCCTCTATGTTGAATATTATTAAATGAATATCATAATATGTTTAATTATATTATGTTATATTTCAGAAATTTCAGTTAAAGTTTAGAAAAGGCAATTATTATCAAAGATAAATTAATAATATCGTAATCGTGGTGGAATATTGTTTCCACGTTTTGGATGAATAATATTTATCGTTTTTTGCGTACAAAAACGCCCGTATGCTTTTGGTCGACATTCGAACGATCGCTTGCGTCATTGGGTGTTTTATCTTCTAAAACATTATCAACACGGTAATGATGTATCCATTTCTTTATAACACTTTTTTCTTTTTTCCTTTTACTTTTAAATTATATTTTAAAGTATCAAATGTAAATGATTCATTGGTAAAATGTGCGTATATTATTATTATTATCCATTATCCATTATCACTATTGTTATTATTATTATTGTGATTATCATCATTATTATTACTGTTATTGCTATAAATATAACATTACCATACATTTTATTTCAAAAATTATATTTATATATATATATATATATATATATATATATATATATATATATATATATAG